TGCGTGGAGACGAGCGAACATGGGGTGGAAGAACGGGAAGACAGGCGGATAGGGGTACAGGCGGGCGGGGAGATAGGCGGACAGAGAAATGCGTGGATAGGAAACAGGCGAATAAGAAAACATACGGGCCTGGAAAGACGAAGACATAAAAACAGGGAGGCAGGCGGACAGAGAACATCACGACAGGAAAAGGGATGGACGGGGAAGGAAAGGGAAAGCTGGCCCGGCAGGAGGCGGGAGAAGGGCACAGGCTGACAGATGTCGGATGATCAAAAGGTACCAATCTACTGCTTGGTGTCAAGGTAGCATAAGCAAACAACTGCAAAATTTTCTTCCAGGTCTGTTTCCTTTCCTTTCTTTTTTCTTTCTCTTATTCCTGTTTTTCTCCTTTTTTCCTTTCCTCTTCCTGTGTGAGGCGCTTATAATGCCACTTTCTATTTCTGCTTAACCGCAAATTTCACACTCCTTCAGGTTCAGTTTAAGCCATTTCCTAACAACTTCCTCTGCGATTCAATTACGATTACTCTGTTACCGAAGAAGGGGGTCATCGTGAAGCGCAGTTACCTGAGGAAGTCGATCCTGGTGATGAGAGCATCCAAATAGCACATTTCACGAGGATCCTTTCCGACGCCAGGAGGTTCGTTTTTTATTAAAGGTCACCTTTATTAATAGGGTAGCCCATTCTCTATACCAGTGGGCCCAATGTCATGTTCAAGGAGGCCCCTTTACTGAATCATGAGGCCCGAGTTACAAACTAGGAGGCCGCTGTTCCAAGATGAGCGACACCCTTTATATTCAGGGCACCTCACTTCTGGAACAGGAGGCCCTTTCATATATCGGATGACCGCAGTTCCGGATCAAGGTGACCCGTTTTCCGATAACGTGGGCTCCTAGCTGTATTTGGATACCCCGTTCATGTGAATCAGGAACATCCTGTTCCGGGTCAGGAGGCCCTCTTTGCATCATGTCGTTTTCTTGAACACGAGGCCCTGCTTTGTGATGGTGATGTCCTTGGCTGCATAATCAGAAGACCCCTAGTCTGTATTGTTTAATTATTGGCTTTTTTACTTGAATATGATAGATGCAACAATTTGATAAAGGGCACTTGACCCTACGCCTAGAACATGACATTGCCCAGAAGGCTCCTTGTGAGAAAACCCTATTCTGTGCAGGAGGTCTCTGGAAAATACGCCTTTCCTCCCCCGCCCCCCCCCCCCCACACACTCAAAATCCGTGGCGTTACTCCTGTTGTGAGCTCGCCCAGTTCGGGGATCCTGGGTATGAAGAAGGGCTAGAACTGAGGCTGCCTTTAACCATTGGCCGTTTATAAAGTGTGTCTAAATGTCAGAAATCATGTATTCCGAAAACGTCTTTTAATGAGGACAACTGGAAATTATACCTCCGTGGTGATTCTTCACTTCCCATCACCTGCTCATGGTCACCGTAAAGACAGGAGGAACGGGAAACAGACGGACTGGGGGGCACGCATACGGGGAGGCAGACGGACTGGGACGGGGCGGGGGGGGGAGCATCCATGAGGGGTGGCAGACAGAGGCAGGCATACTGGGAGGCAGACGGAGGAGGAGGCAGGATAGGAGGACGGGAAGGACAACGGGGAGACAGGAAGCGAAGGAGACCGGCGGACAGGGAGACGGATGAAAAGCTCGACAGGCGTGAAGACACGCAAGAGACAGGCGGACAGGCGCAAATAGCCTGACCGGCAGGGCACACTGGCGGATGCGAAGCAATTATTCTTCCGTTAGTGTAGAGGAGCGACATTCGGCTATGTAAATACAACCGTGATCCTGCCGACGACAGGGAGTGGAATGCGATCCTATCGAGCCCGATAGTCGGCACATAGTTATAGCTGTCAATGTCACCGGCGGCGCTCGACCCCCCTAGCCCGGCACGGGTGTGTGTTATTGGGGCTTAACGACGCACTCCGCTGCTGAGGCCATATGGCGTCGCCTGCCTCCCACCCTGGCAGGAAGGGCGGGCACGGCGGGGAATCGAACTCCGTACCTCGGGTTTCCCAGACGCGAAGCGTTAACGCGGATGCGTCTACCATTACACTGTCGACACCCCTCCCCCTCCCCCGGCACAGGCTTGCCTCCAGCTGCGTCCCTCTCGCCGCATCAGCAGCCTCCGCCAGCTGACTGGCCCGTCAAATGACGTCACAGGGGGGCGGCCGGCGCATCAGTTGCATCACGAGGAGGACGAAGCTGGCGGTGATGGATGGGGGGCCGACGGTCACGACGGAGGCGGCCGGCGTAACTCAGTCAGATGTCTTTGAGATGCATACGTTCGCTGCTATTAATTTAAGTTGTGAGCCGGTCTCGTTTGGAGGGCCACCACGCCACGACTGTCAAGCGCTGAGTAGGATTGATGCATGGCGCTTTTTTGTTCCACACAGTGGAACAGTTGCCATGTACGGCGGCTTTGATACAAATGTAAATGGGGTGCATCGAAGCCGACCAAGAGCGGGGGATGTCTGGCAGTGAACAATGCAAATAAGCCGATGCAAGCTATGCCAAGAATCTGGGGAGAGTGCTGAAACACTGTAAGCAGAATGTTAACTATAACTTAAGATGATATTTGGGCATTAGGCCCCAATCAAAGCGCTGATCTACGATGCACAGGCTTTGATGTATGACCGTTGAATTATTCAAACCGGAATAACGAATTTAGTAGTAAAACGCGGTGTCCATCTCTAACATGTAATTGCAATTGCTGGAAGATGTGAATTTTGTGAGCTTTGCAAAACGGCGAACAGAAGCAGTCTTGACCGCAACTGACCCATGAAAAACTACCCAATGACCATCGCAATATGACCTTCAATGCGTGGTATCCGTGCTTTAAAGAACATTGACATTTCGCACGGCATTTTCTTCAGTTTTGGGATTGAGGCACTGAAGCGTGGTCTAGTGCTGAGGACAGTCTTAGGAAAGTTAGCTTAACTAATGCGCTTAAGTTTTTTGATTCAACTCTCATGTTCATAGCTGCAAAACTTGAGAACACCGCTCAGCCTGCTGACCTCTCCGCCGACCGTCCAGTCTGCTGACCTCTCCGCCGATCGTCCAGTCCGCTGACTTCTCCGCTGACCGCTCAGTCTGCTGACATCTCCGCCGATCGTCCAGTCCGCTGACTTCTCCGCTGACCGTTCAGGCTGCTGACCTCTCCGCCGACCGCTCAGTCTGCTGACCTCTCCGCCGACCGCTCAGTCTGCTGACCTCTCCGCCGACCGGTCAGCCTGCTGACCTTCTCCGCCGCGGCTCAGCAGCAGACCGCTGGACCAGCCGGGTTTTCCACGAGCGACCTTGTGCCCCTCTTGTCGCGCGCTGAGCAAGGTCAGGCGGTGGCGGCGCGCCCGGAGGACGCCGCCATACGGGCGATGCGGGCGCCGCCGGCACCGCCGCGCCTGCTTGATGGACGATTAAACACGGACGACGACGCGGCCACCATACGGGTTGCCACCGCCGCTGCGGCCGCTGCCGATCGTCCGGCGGAGTCAGACCCACAGGTGTGACGTCATGCGAGTGACGCGTCGTGAGGGTCGGAGGTCAGCGGGCTGGCCAAACCCTCCTTTGACTGGGTCTGGCTCGGTTCTCGGCTGGCTTCCCTGTGCGGGTTGGTGTGTGGGGTTTGCGACTGTGGGGTGGGGACACCACTTGACTCTGAAAATGACTATTGGGCCTAAGACTGAGGCTAAAAACCTGGGTGTGCTAGGTTTTCTGGGACCCAGAAAAGCTGTGAAACCCTTTGCACTGGCAAAAAGTCTTCAGCGATAGCGTCATTGTCCTCTTCCTTTTTTGTTGACCAGACAGCACACACGCGTTCTGTAAGCTTCTATCAACTTCGTTGAAAATGATGTGTTGTGTGCATTGTGCATTGTGAAAATGTGCATCGTGTTTCCAAGAAGCTCGTGCAGACAGCGAGGCGCGGCGGTGTTTGTGGTAGTGTCCTTCACTTAGTGGGTTAAATAAGGCTCTCTCGTGTCTTAATCCAATAGCTCAGCGTCGCTTTGTTGACACGTTCTTGCACAAGCCTGCTAGTGCACGTAGCTTCCTCACAGATGTTTTGCATGCACCGCTTCTGATTACCATAATATTCACGCTGTGACTGTATTTACATACGAAGGTGAAGGCCATGATCATGCCGAGTACCCGCACGGATACACTCGTCGTGCACTGCCTCTTTGGCACCGCAGCCAAAAAAAGCGGACAGCTAATTACGCTACTACAATTTCTCACCGTGTCCACGATTTACCCGGTGACCGCTCAGTTGCTAACACTGACTTCACTCGTCCCACCGCACTGTGTGCTGAATGTATTTATTAGCTAGCTGGCCAACGCTGGAAAGTAGGCAGGACTTAAAAGGCAACCGGAGGAGCCCTCTCCTTTTAAAAATAAGGCCTTTACAGGCATGCAATGTTATGAACAACAAATTTTCATGACAAGTGACAGTCTATGGCCCCTGTGTCTTTTGAGCCTACGACCACGCCTATGACTTAGTGTGTTGGGGGTTCTGGGGTTTGTTCGTTATAAAAAATCATGGAAATAAAGTGTTTACCATTACAGGACGCAGGACGATCTAAGGTAAATCCTCTTTGCATATCGTTCATCCCGATCCAAACCTGTAAGGCTGCCCGCTCTTTGACCTCACGATCACTTAGAATGTGCTAAGGGGAAGCAAGCTCCTCCAGAGTCCCGTCCCTTTCCATACGGCTCACAGAACTGCACCCTCAAACCATGACTCCTCCCCAATGCACGTGTCCATATCATCGTCGCGACGCGCGCCGCCCGCCACCGCCGCCTTCGCGGCGCGTTCTGCCCGCTCGCGTGTGGCGGCGGCTACCGGCCGACGCCGCGGGCGGTGCCTCCCCTCCCCCTCCGCTGTCCCCGCGCGCGGCACGGGCCGGGGCGCGCGCCCGGGGGCGGGGCCTAGCGCGCTAGGGTACAAGTAGGACCGGGCGGCGGCGGCGCCGGCCAGTCGTTCGATAACCGCCCCCAGCGTGAGCCGCCCGCCGCGCGCGTGCGCCGCCCCTTTTCGTTTCGTTCTCCTTAGTTGCGCGTCGTTCGCTGCCGGCGGCATGTCGGCGATGGGGGTGGTGCCAATCCGACCGAGCCCGCAGAAGCTAAGCGGCGCCTGCGTGCTGCTCACCACGTCGACGGTGCAGGTGACGGCCGCGCTCAAGAGCCAGCAGCGGCGGCCGGTGGAGCCGGCGCGCCCCAACCGCCGCCGGCTCGGCTATTCGGCCTACATCCCGCCGCCGCAGCCATCCAACGTGCTGCGGCGCAACGCGCGCGAGCGCAACCGCGTCAAGCAGGTCAACCACGGCTTCGCGGCGCTGCGCAACCACATCCCGAGCGCGGCCAAGAACAAGAAGATGAGCAAGGTGGAGACGCTGCGGCGCGCCGTCGAGTACATCCAGAATTTGCAGGCGCTGCTGGACGAGAGCGACGCGGCCGCGGCGCCTCTGCCGCCGCCGCCCTGCCAGCCCTCGCCGCAGACGCTGACGCCGGCCAGCGCTTGCAGCGGCGACAGTGGCTACGCCGACCACCGGCCGTTCTACCTGGCGTCGCCGACCGAGGCACCGCGGCCGGGCCTGCTGGCGCAGCACATCTCGCCGCCGTGCTCGGACGCCTCGTCGCCGGCGCCCTCGTACGCGTCCGACACGGCGCCGCCGCCGCCCGCCGCCTACGACGGCTACGACCAGTACGGCGCTGGCGGCTTCAGGGAGGACGCGTTCGGGGAGACGGAGAACATGAGCGCGGCCGACGAGGAGCTGCTGGACGCCATCGCCTGGTGGCAGTCCAGTCAATGAGACGGCCATCTCCGGCGGCTGCAGGTGAGGCGGGCCGTCAGGCCTTCAAACAATGCTGCGTAGCCTACCATAAATGCTCCAGAAACGATGCTCAATGTATTTCTTAGAATATTTTATTTTTGCAAACCATTGTTTTTCCTGTCAGATATGTTTTTCACTCCAAACTATTACCTGCAAAGTGTCTGAATCTAACCAAACCATAGTCTAATTTGTGTACAAGGTCTGAGAATCACGCGTTTCATCTCATGCGTGTAAGAGGCTCCGGATCGGAAGCGCGTTTTTTGTCGCGATGAGTTTCGGAAGCGGCGCCGGCCGTGGAGGCGCGAGAGCGCGTGATTATCGGGCGCCGTCGCTGGTCGGGCCGGCGTATCCGGCGGCGGCGTGAGAGCGCCGTCTCCCCGCTTCCGTTCGATCGGCCCGTATTTACCTGGCCGGCCAGCACCATTGTCTGCGCGGCCAGGAAGCCGCGGCGAGGGCCGCCGCGCTTGGCCGCTGATCCGTGGCGCTAACAAGTGCCGCCAGCCCCCTCCCCGCGTCTGGGCGCCCCCGCCGCCGCCGCGCGGACGGAAGCCGCCGAGCCGCCGCGGACGCTGCGCCAACGCGTCGCCAGACATGGTGCCGTCATTTGCATAACTCGGCGGCGCGCCTGCGTTTGGCGACGGGAGGCTGGAAATCGGCGCCCCATTTATCATCGCGGCCGCTCGGAATATGTTAAAACTGTCCCAACTTCACGCGAAATCCACTGCCAGATTTATATGAGAGAGCCATTCAGATTGCCGGAATCGTAAATCTCACAAGAAATACCTGTCTGGCTACCTGCCTCTGGCGCGCATTTTTCACGGTTCCTCCGGTTTTTCTAATCAAGATCTTTTGTCCCCTTTGAGGCTCCCGGTTCCCTTTCATTCGCGCCGGGCGCTCTCACAGGAGGGAGGCAAAAATAGCGAGTCGGGACGAACCGGCCGGCGCGAGACCGTCTGTTTGCGACCCAGCAATCCCTCGCCTCCACTCAAAGCCCTTCTGGGAAACCAGCTCTCTTTAAGTTTTAAGTTTTTTGCCGGGGGCGCCGTGAATGTGGTGCACGCGGACGTCGCCATTCGACGATTTTTTGCGCGTCGTTTTTGCCGCGGCGCCGAGCTGCCCGCGCCGGTCTTCCTCCAATGCTGACACTTCGCCTCCTCTGTCCGCAGGTCGAGATTCTAGTCAAGCCGTTGTGTTCCGCCCGCCGCCCGGCCGTCATTCGTCATCTGTCATCCGCCGGCGCCCGCGTCATCGCCGGTGAGTTCCGGGCGCCGCGTGTTTTGGCGCCAGCCGTCGCCGCATACCTCGCCGGTAATCCGGCCCGTCGCCTGGACCTTCTCCGGCGCACCGTTAGAGAGGGCTGGGCGACACTCGACGTCATGTTCCTGTCAGAGGGACACGCGCCGGTGTCGGCAGCAGTCGCCCCGGCGCCGGACCGGCCCGCCCGAGGCTGCGCGGCCGGCCGACAGACCGCTCCGGTGTCGTCAGCGCGCGCGTCCCGCTACCGGAGCTCGAGATCGCATCGGCTGTAATTGGAGCACCCCTTTCGGGATAAAAGGCTTCGCCTCAACATTCATTAATCTCGGTGTGTCGCACGATAAAAAGTCGTCTGACCTGCGTTTCTCCACCGGCAGGTGCCAATCAGCTGCTCCTGCCCTGGCGGCGTCTGGAGTCGAGCCCGAGAGACGTGAACTCGGCTTGGTTTACGTCCAGTGACCGACCCGGGGCGCGGCGACCACGGCAAACCATGTGATCCACCGTCATGTCCTAGAGTGCCTTGTATAGCTATACGCGCGCGCATCAGCTGCTCAAGCTCATATCAATTTGTATTCCGACGCGTTGTGATCGAGGGCGGCTGTTGGCCCTTTTCTGGGCGGCGACACGCCTTGTTTGATAGCTTTTAGCTGTTTATGGGATCTCTTTATTGAGAGCGAATATGACGTCGTTGTTTGGAAATGACGTTGCCGCGCCTGTGGAACTCGTGGACCATTTTTCTATGACAAATGCCGTCAACAGCCGTTGTTATTTTGTAACTTTATAGCTTGATTTGTACATTTGTAGTGCTTGTAAGTGTGGTAGCGTTCATTGGTCATACGTAGTGTACATTGTGCATACGTATGTCTACAATGTTTGGTCGTTAGTGGAGGCAATAAACATGTGCAGCAGCTATAGCGCCGCTTTCATAGAGACCATGTTTTGTGTTGAAGCCTAAAAAATCCCGTGCTCGTCAAAAGTGAAAGTTGTGTTTGCACTATACACGCATATAATCGAAGAGTGGCAGCGACGATGAAAAACGTTAAATGCTTTCGAGCCATTGGCAGGCAATGACAAGCTTCTCCGCAAGTACTTTGGAGCCGCGTAATAAATGCCGAAAAGAGACTGATAGCAAATATTATACAACATTTAGGGGCTGTCCACACGGATGGTTTGGATGGATGGATGGATGGCACACCCTGTGTGCGTTGAACGCGCGTCACGAGCATGTGACGCCAGTAAGGAGTGTGGCGTAACGCATACTTGAAAGTGTCCAGGCTGGTATCCAATATAGATTGCTCGTCGAAATGCAAGTCATGTCTTAGGCTTGTCCAGATATTCCCTCAAATCAGCTTCAGTCCTCAGGTATAAAATAAATTTGCAAACGATGTCCCTCCGAAAATCGGCTACCAATGTGGCAACAAGAGATAATTAATAAAAAAGAAAGGCATTCACCTCCTGGTTTCTTACCATCATGAGTTCAGTTATTATGCGCAGTTAAAGGGAGTGTTTCACGTTTTAAGATCTTGAAGCAAGCATCGGATATGATAAAGCAAGTTCACTTATAGCTGTAAGTATGCTCCAAAATGGAAAAGACTGCTCCAGAGAACACAATGATCTATTTAGTAAATGCGCTCTTCAATGCATGGTCTAATTACATCATCGTACCTTGCATGACATTTATTGAGAGCCAATTGACGGCTGTTATACACAGAAATTGCGCTCACGATTGCCAGCTATGAACGCCTCGGCACTCTGTTTTTGGCTTTGATCGCCGCATGGCTTATGGAATGGTAGACTTTGAATGGCGTTATTACGATATTGGGAATGCCAATGTGACTGAAACTCTCTCTTCGGTATACCTTTCCCAATTTTCGCGGACGTGTAGCCGAGAAACTAGAGTGACAGCATTGTGAACTTAAGAAGGGCAAGGTGTCTTAAGAAAGGCAGGGTTGTGAACTGCACCGAAAGGTCTTCAAGATGACTATTTTAATTCAAAACCCCATGTAAATGTGAAACACTCCCTTCAACGACCCTCATTGTACCAGGAGGTACTGGTAAAATAATGCTTCAGTGTTAGACAACTATTATATTGGCAGCACTAATATTTCTAGCTGCGCTTATCCCGAAGAGTGGTCTCTTAAGGTGCCTTGAGCCCTATAACGTGGTTTAATCAGTACCTCCTGCTATATTGAAGGTCGTTAACTCAGCATAACAACTTTGACGATGTGATTGCCTCTTAATTTTGAACTGACGATGCAAGTAAGTTGCGTGCTTGGTATTTATACATGCGACCAAAATTTCATGAGCTCTTTTTCATAAGAATGGCCCAGTGTGACCTCATGGGAGACGGGGAAGAAAAATAATCGTGTGCAACGAGGACGGCTATCGAAAAAGTGACGCATTCAACAAAAGTATGGTGCAAGCCGATACGTGGTTTGTGGCCTGGTGCTGCGCGACCGATACGTGAGCCGATACACAGTGTATGGCCTAGTGCTGAGCAGATGATACGTGGTTTATGGCCTGGTGCTACGCGGCCGATATTTGAGCCGATACCGGGCTTATGACTAGGTGCTACAGTGGCCGATTTTTGGGCCGATACGCGGTTTATGGCCTGGTGCTACGCGGCCGATACGTGAGCCGATACGCGGTTTATGGTCAGGTGCTACGCGGCCAATACGTGAACCGATACGCGGTTTAAAGCCTGGTGCTACGCGGCCAATACGCAGTTTATGGCCTGGTGCTACGCGGCCGATACGCGGTTTATGGCCTGGTGCTACGCGGCCGATACGCAGTTTATGGCCTGGTGCCACGCGGCCGATATGTGAGTCGATATCCGGCTTATGGCCTGGTGCTACGCGGCCGATATGTGAGCCGATATGCGGTTTATGGCCTTGTGCTATGCGGTCGATACATGAGCTGACACGCGGTGCGCGCGTCTGGTGCGCGTAAAAACGCCAATATGAGAATATTATCATGTTGAAGGTACTGAAATGAACGGAGGTATGTAAGCTGGTGCGCGATATGTTTTTCGGTTTTCAAGATGTGTGAGACGTTTGATGTGCAGCGCAACATGCGCACATCCGTGACAATTTGAGACCCTCACACGGCTTACTCGCAACTTTCACTGTTCCTGACTCATGAGTTAGCCTCTACAGTCTTAACGTTTTAACTAGATTAAATCAAATCAAATAAAAAATGGGGTGGAGCTTAGAGGGAACAAATCCTCTTCTTGCTGAAATTTCTGCCTTAAGCCATCTATGGAGACAATAAACAATGCCGGTCTAAGCAGGCGCCTTCGCTATTGACTTCGCCTGAGCGGTTAATAGCGCAGTCAGTGACTGCACGGGGCATGCCTCACAAAACTAGACATGCTTGTTTCTTACAAGCTGCATTTCAACCGCGCCAAACCTTCTAGTGCGCAGAAGCTGCTCTTTCTTTCCAATTTAAAATGCGAGATTTCCTGAAGTGGTACAAAACAGATATATTGATGATAAAGCCGCAATGTTTTAGAAGAATAATCTCTCAAATCGGCTGGAACTTGGTTGTCGATCATAGACATGCTGGTACCAACAGGCGGCAGACCATAAAGCTATGCGTGCAAGAACCTGACTTTCAACACTCTAGGGTTTGCTGATGGCTGGAACAAAAATCGAAGGGGAGCGTGCTCTTATCTAAAGATAATTATCAAAGCGTGACAAGCTTGAACGTTTCACTGACAAAAGTTCAATGGATGAGAATAGAAACGACGCTGGACGAGTAGTTTTCGTGCACTTAGCTTTTTCTCAGCCATCTTAATCGTATTCGGGGCGGGCTCCCCGTCGCTCGCATGATATTTCAGGAAATGTGGATGTGGGACAACTCATCCAATGACCAGGCTCTATGGCACTTCATAGACCATGCCCTGACTTCGGTTGGCCGTTTGATTCGTCCATTGAGGACACGGGCACACCAGATTGAGCCGTGTAAGCCGAGAGCCAGCGTTACCTCCCTACTTAAGTAACTAGGTTTTATGTACTTGATGACCAAGAAGGATGTTTTCTGAGGATAGGTTGGTCAAGGAAGGCCGTGGGTAGCGCCGAACGATGCTATAATTTGTACTGCAATGCCGTATATCGCCGTCTTTGTCACCTGGTCCCACCCTAACGCATCACAGTGCTGTTTGATATCTATCATGTGTACTCATGTCCTCCAACCATGAGGAGCTGCATTGACCGCAAACGCCATTTCCACTATTTCTTCTGTTGAAGAGCAACTGCGTCAATCAATCTCTCATTGCACACTGAATACAGGAAGTTGCGGGCAGCTTATTTCAAACCCCAAAACGTTTGCGAACAGAAGGAATGCTTCTGCCGCTGCCTCTCTGCTCTCGTTTCCGAGTGGAAGGGCGTGGCGGCTCCTGTGCGCCGGTGAACGTCTACAATTCGCAACCAGCTGCGCCGGCTAGCACGCCACTTCACGCAATTAAGCGCCGCGTCTGCCGCAGCCGTGTTTGTAATTTCACGCCCGCGGTGGCGAATTAGCGTGCGCCGACCTGGGTCCGGGCGCTGTTTCCTTGGCGCGCGCCGCCTTTCGCCGCCCGTCCGCCGCTAATGACTTGCGCGGCGATACCGATCACTACGGCGGCGAGCGTGGCGCGGCTGTCAGTCAGCGGCCGGGACGCCACCGAGGGAACGACGGCGAGGCGCGATAGACGACCTCCAACTCGTTGCCATTCAGCGCGCGCGGCCCCGGGACCGCGCTAGAAAATCGACACCAGATCAACCCTCTCGTAATGAGATTATCGGCCAGCGAACACGGCAGTAAATCAGCACTGGTAAACAAAAACCGGGTTGGCGGCACCGTCCAGTCCCACTCTCCGGCTAATGTGACAATGTTTGAGAGATGCCCGGCTCGTTTTGGAGATGCGCGGCTCGTTTAGAAGACGCCCAGCTCATTCAGAAGACGTCCGATTCGTTTTAGAGATGCGTGGCTCGTTTGGAAGATGCCTGGATCGTTCAGGAGATGCCCGGTTCGTTCGGAAGATGCCCGGCTCGTTCAGAAGATGCCCGGCTCGTTCAGGAGATGCGCGGCTCATCCAGAACGTCCGGCTCGTTCAGAGGACGTCCGGCTCATTCGGGAGATGCCCGGCTCGGGTCGTCCATCACAGCGCAGAGCTGGCACGCGGCCGGCGGACTCGTCTGCCGGCGGCCTCCCGTGAAGCCCCGGCACAAATTACACCCGCGCCGAAAAATGATCGGCGTTAACCGCTCGCCACATGTGTGGTGGCGACGGACGACGGGGGGCGCCGGCCGCCGGCCGCCCGGCTAACCCACTGACGGCGGCGCTACCGTTACGTCTCGCCGGAATCTGTCCGGAGCGGACGGCGAAAATTACACAGCGCGGCGCGCGGGGCGCCGCACCGCTGACCTAACGGCTCAGGCCGCGACCCGGCGGCATTGTCGCGCGCCGGGCAGGGACATGTGGTCGGCAGCAGACACGAGAACCGCGACAATTAACGCCACCATTACTACGCGCTGCGCCACCGCCCAACGCTACCCAGCCAGCACGCGCCCGAAGACGATTTTTTTCGTCGAGCTCCTCCCGCACAAAGCGGTGCGAACTGGGTCACGGAAGGGTTGTGTCTTGGGGTGCACGAGACGGGCGAGCACCGCCTGCCGCCGCGGCTGACAGACGGGCGGGGCGCGGGACGGGAGACGAGCCGGGTACGTCAGCCCTGCGCCGAAGGAGGTCACGCTTCCGACAGGCCGGCCGCCGCCGCCGAGCGGGTCGCCGCCGGGGGTGTCGGCCGTCCCCCCTGCGGTCGCGGATGGCCGCGGCCAGGCCGTAACTGGGCGCACGCACGTGTCCACGGCTCGCCTGGGAAAATACCGCCCACCGGACCGCGGCCAGGGGCGCACCGAGAGCGTAGCCGA